TAGCAGGAGGAGGAGGAGGGGGGGGAGGAGGATGAAAAGGGGGAGGGGAAAGATGGTTGGGTTGTGTGTGTGGGGGGGGGATAAGACGAACCACTGGCGGATGGGTTGTGTGGGTGGGTGGGTGGGTGGGAGGGAGGGAGGACAAGGGAATGGGGCAGGGGGTTGGGGGTTGAGAGGGAATGGAGTTGAAGGGGGGGAGGTGTTTGCGGGAGAGGGGACGCCGAACCACAGACGGGTGGGGGAATGAATGGGAGTATGCTTTGCAGGAGGCAAAACGGACGGAGGGGTGGGCAGGTGGAACCACATGATGGTCATGATAGTAAAGTGACTGCCCGCGACCTCGCCCAAGGGGGCCGGAGGGAGGGAATGGGATGATGATGGCGGCCTTATGCACGTGTCCAGCCCCGCCTGCCGCTTCAGTTCTCCAGCCCTGCCTGCCCCTTCCTCTGCCTCACCTGGCCTCGCCCTGTCCGTATGTCCAGTCCTACACACATACACTCCTACATACACTTTCCTGGCCACCCCCCATGTCCTGCCTCTGCGGCCCCCTAGCCACAGACACCTCCAAACACGCCATCCCGGCCCGCCTCCCGCCCGCAACCTACCGTGGACATGATGAGGAAGCCGTTGAGGATGTTTTCACAGATCTCCCGACCCGCCAGACCGATGGCGAGACCACCAATACCTCCGATGGCCAACACGGAGGTGACTGCAGGGGGGGGAGGCGCGTGCGTATACGGGTGTGTGCGTATGTGGCGGTGGGGGTGGGTGGTGTGTGTGTGTGTGTGTGTGTGTGTGTGTGTAAAAGGGGGGTGAGGTGAGGTGAGGTGAGGAAGGAGAGAGGGTGAGGAGGGGTGTACAGAAAAAAACGTCGTTTGCCTTTACTGGGTCTCTTTTCGTCCCGGTTCGTGCCTTGTGGACTCCCTTTCCTTTTCCTAGTTCTGTAATATTGCAGATGTCCCCCTCCCCTCCCCTCCCCTCCCCTCCCCTCCCCTCCCCTCCCCTCCCCTCCCCACCACAGACAGCACCACAGACAGTTTGGTGGTACTTTGGACGTGTTGGCATTTGTTGAACCCCTTTGCTCCCTCTTGCATCATCATCATCGTCATCATCATCCCCACATCATCATCATCATCATCCCCACATCATAATAATTAACCCCACATCAGAATCACTATCATCACGAGCATCAACATACTATCGCCATCACAATCATCACCATACGATCCTCATACCCCCTTCTCCCTTCCCTCTCGCCCCTGGACTGCCCCCGGCTGCCCACCTTCGAGCCCAAGCGCCTGGATGCCGAGGACAAACGTGATGGTGTAGATGACAAACGTGCCCAACTTGTCGTACGCCTCCCACCGCCGCTGCGCCGTCACATCGCCGTTCATCTCGCTCTATGACGTAGTGGTGTTTGGTCGTGGTGGTGGTTATGGTGGTGGTTGTGATGGTGGTTGTGGCAATCAAAACGAGGCCGGGGAGTTCGGGAATTGATTTGGGGGGGGGATTTGCAATCAGGGGGTTGGGACCAGGAACGGAGCGTGCATTTCTCGAGAATTAGCGAGCGGCTGCAGTCCATTCCTGACTGTCACTGACACTGTACACTGTACGGCGCCACTCCAGCTCCCGCCGGGCCTCCCACCGCTGCCGCAACGCCAAAACTCCGAGAACTCCCCCTTTCCTCCCTCTTCATTGTCCCCACCTCCCTTCCCGCTCCGTCCCCCCCCCGCTTTTTCCCCGTTCGTGGTTCGTCTTTCTCCCCCCTCACCTGCCAGGCATTCTCCTTACAGAACCTGGACTTGAGGTTGAGCACCACGGTGGCTGCCCCCAGAATGAAGCTGACTGACAGAGTGGAGCGAACTACCGTTGACACAGTGGACTGCGGAGGAGGGAGGGGTGAAGGAGGGAGGAGGAAATCATATGAGTAGCAATATCAAGGAAAACAACTGCCGACGTCCCAAGGGAAGCGGGGGGCCAGAGAGGTCGAGGAGGGGGAAGACGAACCACGAGCGACTGAAGGTGATGCCAAGGAAAGGGGGATGTCGATGAGGGGGAAAGTGGCAGCCAGGGAAGCCGGTCCACGGATGGATGGATGGATGGATGGATGAATGGATGGAAGGATAGGTGGGTGGATAGGTGGGTGGAAGGATAGGTGGGTGGATGGATGGATGGATGGATGAATGGATGGAAGGATGGATGGATGGATGAATGGATGAA